CAAACTGTGTCCTGGAGGGCCAGTGTCCTGTAGAGTTTCGCTCCAACCAGCTCCAACAGACCTGCCTGGAAGCTTCTAGTCTGCCTTGTGAGACCTTGATTAGCTGCTTCAGGTGTGTTTCATTCGGCTTGGAGCTAAGCTCGGCAGGACAAGGACCCTCCAGGACTTAGTTTGGACGCCCCTGCTCTAAGCCTACCGCTAGACTTTACCCGCAAGAGGTTTTCTCAAGCCTGTGCCAAAAGGCTTGAGAAAACAGTCTGAGCAGTCTATCACAGCTGCCTGGCTAGCTCAGTTGGTAGAGCATGAGACTCTTAATCTCAGGGTCGTGGGTTCGAGCCCCTCGTTGGGTGTCCCTTTTGGCTCTCTCGCCCTTCCCAACGGGTCTCAGTCTCCAATGAGTCTCTTGACCTCAGTTCGCTGACGCAGGACACGTGTTGTGTTTAATCTGTGTGGCACGCACAGCGTTGATTTTTTGTCACCGCAAACCAGAGGAGGTTAAGCTGCCGGTCTCTGTGGCGCAATCGGCTAGTGCGTTTGGCTGTTAACCGAAAGGTTGGTGGTTCGAGCCCACCCAGGGACAATTGAAGCTTTTCGCTGCCATTCTGCCATGTGTCCGCAAGCGCAGAATTTAGCACACGAGACACGTTATGACTTTACTTGCTGAGGCAAAGAACTATTAACTAATTGTTAATATGTTATTGTGGTTATGGATATTTTTCAATTAGTTAGTTAGTCATGTGCCTCAACAAGTAGCGTTAAAGTAATAACATGATATCTTTACAAATCATTAGCTAATGATTAATTAATGCAGACAACGGGAAGTTGAAATGGCACCTATTCAGGTTGAAATGCATGGCTTGTGATAATTAACATATGAATTTACACTATTAGTTAATATAATATGTTATTAGGGAATTAATACATTATGACACATTTAACTAATAACAATTTATTGATTACTTTATCTATGAATCATAGAATGTTCATTTGTTGCCGATGCAGTAATCATTAATAAATGGTTTGGTCCTTCATGAATTATATATTAAGTCATGATTATCTGTGCATCAACTAAGCATGAATTAATGCATATTAGTGCCAGCGTATTGTAAAGTGAGTTGTGTTTTTATGTTACCATAAAAATAAAGTGGCAAAAATATAAAGTTGTTTTGAATGCACAATATGGTCGGATCTTAAAAATGGATTCTACTAAAAAGTGGCCAGAAAACTAGCAGGACGCAGCTGTGGCACTGCTACTTGGGCAACTAATGTTGGCAATGAGCATGGACAGGTGATCATGTCCATGCTCACAGCCAGCGAAGGTTTTGGTCTCGGGCCAATGATTGAAGGCCTTATCAAGCGATACAGGGTGGCCGGGGTGGCTCCTCCCGAAGTACTGTATGTCGACCGAGACTGCTGTGGCAACACTCTTTTGAGGAGGATGTTTGAAGAGTGGGAGCAAATGACCATCCGGTTAGATGTATGGCACTTCATGCGGAGGTTTGCTGTGGGTTGCACCACCGACTCTCACCAGTTGTATGCCACATTTATGAGTGGCCTCAGCCACTGTATTTTCATGTGGGACCAGCTCGACCTGACGGCCCTGAAGACGGCGAAGCATGCAGAGCTAGAAGCTGAAGGGAAACCATCATCCGAGGCTGATGTGCTGCGCTGTATCTGTCGTAGCGAGCTAGCACTACATTGCAGGAGAACCACTCGCGGGACCAAAGAGACCCTGGTGCTGATTGAGAGCCATATTCAGGCCTTTGATTGAGATGCTGGTCGTGACACTCTGGGAGTCCCACTAATAAACTCAGCCCGGATGAGAGAGATTTTAAAGTCCCAGCGGAAGCACGTGGCCTGCATCCAGGATCCTGTTGGTGTGCAGCTCTACATGCAGACGGGTACCTTATTGAAGGGAGGGCACCGCCTGCCAACCTACCGCTGTGCCAGAGGTTCCACTTCGCTTGAGTCATTTCACCTGCACCTTAACAGATTCATCCCAGGTTAATAAATGATTTAACTGAATTATTAAAATAAGATTTGATTTATATTGAAATAATTATGAGAATTGCAAGAACAGCTATTTGTGTATTTATATGAAATTTTTGTGCGGTATTTTTTTGTTTTGTTTTTTGAATTTACAGGCACGCTGGCAAGTGACACCTTCTTTCAGGCGTATCTTTTGGATGGACTTGCAAGGTGGAATGAGGACCGGGCTGTAGCAGCAACAACTGATGAGCAGCAGCCACATTCATACAATCATCTTCTGCGTCATGCTGTCAATACTCTTGCAGAGGAGCTTATGGGCATGAAAATCATCCCTTATGTTGGCCAAGAAAGTACACTGGTAGATAACAATTTTTTGTTTTTGGTGACAATTTCATTCAAGTTCAGACACACCATTTAACCACTGAGTTATAATATAATATCATGGTATATTATCTAATTGTCATTGTTTTACTATTTTAAAGGTGAGCTTATTGGAGTGGAATATCTTTACCAGCAAACTGGTAAAGTTCTGCAGGACTACAAGTTGGCCATTGAAGAGTCAGAGACCACTGAGGTTGGTATAGAGGTGGATGAAGGTTATGCTGAACTTGAGGAGTTTCAGGACATCACTGTCCCCACCTTTGACACTGAACGGACACCTGCTGCCTCTTCACAAGCATCAGTGTCTGCAGCGTCTGCAGCATCATCTTCAACCCCTCCAGCAACCAGCCCCACGTCATCACTGTTTGTGGTCCCTCCATCACCAGTGACATCTCCTGTCACCAGCTCCACGTCATCATTGTTTGTGGTCCCTCCATCACCAGTGACATCTCCTGTCACCAGCTCCACGTCATCATTGTTTGTGGTCCCTCCATCACCAGTGACATCTCCTGTCACCAGCTCCACGTCATCATTGTTTGTGGTCCCTCCATCACCAGTGACATCTCCTGTCACCAGCTCCACGTCATCATTGTTTGTGGTCCCTCCATCACCAGTGACATCTCCTGTCACCAGCTCACCGCACACTCAATTAAAGCCAGCACTCTCTCCTGGAGCACATAGCTGTGAGTTTTACCAAAGTATTCATAAAGGTTTCGGTATTTGTTATCACACTAACTCTAAATGTTTATTTATCACATTGAAAGACATAAATACAAATTTAAAATAAATATTTACCTTTGTGATGTAGTCCCAGTGGACCGATTATCTGCAGAAACGGATCTTCCAACATCGGAAGACAACACTTCACATGATGTAAGGGCCCAGTTTCTTTTTTATGTACATTTACATGTGTGTAAACAAAATTTGGGTTATGTTGGCTGTGTGAATATTTGTATTCATTGCTGCTATCAAAAGTTCCTAAATTATCTTTCATTTTAGGATTCTGTTGGACCTGATAATATTGAGGGGTATGGAGCTGTGCAGGACTTGGAAGAGTTTTTGGTTAGCCTCAGAGATCACCGTCTGGCCTTGACTGGAGAAGAGTGCTTCAAGATCATCACTCTATGGCAGGCATTGGGGGAGTATGACAAGAAGAAGACCATTTACCCACCACGTCACCAAACCACCCTAAAACAGGGACGATTCAGGGCCACTAAGAAGATTGTGGCCCCAGGTGTGGAGAGCACGAAAAGGTATGTTACGTTTAGTAAACACAGGGTCTAAAAAGTTTTGTATAAAATATATAATATAACTGAAACTGGCTGAAATATCACCTACAGCTTTATTTATTTAGTAAGGATTTCTAGTAAAATGAGTAAAACCTGATGCCTTCATGACTAGCTTATCTTCCTGCAGCCTGTTAAGTTCAAACTTAGCCTGGTTATAACATAAATTATTAGTTGTGATTTACATTTAATGCTGACTATATGTTAGGTTGCTAAGTAAGTTACGTTGCTATGGACACAGTTCCAACCGTACATTGAAATATTTTATTTAGCAGAAGCAAGGCAATCATTTCTTAATCAGTAAAATCATTTTGTATCAATATGTTGAGTCAAATAATTTGTCTTTTACTTTTTTAATAAGCGGGATAATGTGCAGTCATTATTGTGAAAAAACCCTTATTGGCTGACTAACGACACCGTATCAACCTGTAATAATTCCACAACACAGTAGTAACCCAGTAGAGACCTAATTTATTGATATGACATTTCAACATCGACCTAGAAAACAAAGAAAGACAACATAACTATGCGCAGATATTATAAATTAACATCTAGACAACACAAAGCAAAACAGACAGAAAAGAAAAGGGAAAGATCACACAATGAAAACAATCTTACATTAATAATATGTATTCTGTTGTAATTTGCAGGTGTTTCGTTGGGGCTCATAGTCCTGCACAGTGGCCTGACTGCAACCGAGTGGTGGAGGCCATCTTCACAAGGCTCTGTGCTCTCTACCCAAACGCGGTGCGCTGTGATGGAGTGAGGGTGTCCCGCTTCACTATGGTAGCACGTGCTTACAAGCACATCCGAGAGTGCATCCTCACCAATGCTAAGGTGATGAGCGAGACCACCATCCAGCTCCCAGAAGTGAACGCAGCAACAGTCACACAATGGTGAGTAAATTAGCATTGTTACCGCTAAGCCTAAACTTAAAGCAGCTAAGGGCTACACAGAGGGTCCAAGTAATTGACGCGATTGACTTAGGCTGGTGTTACACGGGGCAATTTTTTGATCAATGCTGCCGGGCAACTTTGGTTAAGTTAGTACTTCTACGAGTCCGTTTTGGACTTTCTGCGAGAGAGCGCCCTCCGGCGTCCGGTGTGAACGAAACGTACATAACGTGAGAGTGTTTACGTTGGAGAGTGCCCAAATTAAAGTGCGGGGGACGAATTTACATTTGATTAAAATGCGGGGGACAATGATGATGACACGCGTGCACCAGCAGCGTCAAAACGGACACATTCCAGGAATTCCATAACTGGTCGGAGCGGGCCGCGAACTCGCGTCGCTGTGCCTCTTCTCGGATCTTTACCTCGACCAACAGGCGCGGGCCTTGGCTCAGTCGGTAGAGCATGAGACTCTTAATCTCAGGGTTGTGGGTTTGAGCCCCACGTTGGGCGTACCTTTTGGCTCTCTCGCCCTTCCCAACGGGTCTCAGTCTCCAATGAGTCTCTTGACCTCAGTTTGCTGACGCAGGACACGTGTTGTGTCTAATCTGTGTGGCACGCACAGCGTTGATTTTTTGTCCCCTGGGTTCGAGCCCACCCCGGGACGAAGGAAGCTTTTCGCTGCCATTCCGCCATGTGTCCGCAAGCGCAGAAATTAGCACACGAGACACGTGTCCGCTAACGCATGCATGGAGCAGCATTCGTAGCCCCTTTTGAGCGTTTACAGCTTTGTTAGTTGCCTTGTGGTAAAAGAAGACAAAGGGTAGTCAGTGAAGGTTCGTGTCAGCTCAAGTTTGCTGTGGCGTGTACACTGAGTGCTCATGTTTTGTTCCGGGTGGTGGAGGCCTGTGTTCCAGGGATTTCCTGCTCAAAACTCCTTCTAGGAGCACCACAAAATGCCACGAAAATAACTTTCGAATCATATACTGCGGAATTTGCAAACTGTATTCACACTGTGGGACAGAACTCCATGCCTGGAACGTTTGTGGAGTTGCCTGAACTTGTAGCCTTTCAGGCTTTTGGACAAGAGGTCAATCGATTTGGCGCACTCCTATATGTACTAGCATCTTTGTATTTTCAGTTTCCGGTTGGAGGTTGGGTCCTCCAATTTTTGCTGTATGGCTCACTTTTTACCTTTGGAAATTAGGAAAGTTTGCCTTCAGTGACCGCTCTCTCTTGCGACAGATTGAAACGGAACTTTAACTCCGGGTTTTGATTGTGCATGTTATCGGCCTGCTCTGCTTGTTCAAACTGTGTTCCCCAGCAACAGGCATGGCTAAAACAAACAAAGAACACTCTAAGCCAGGGGTGTCCAAACTGTGTCCTGGAGGGCCAGTGTCCTGTAGAGTTTCGCTCCAGCCAGCTCCAACAGACCTGACTGGAAGTTTCTAGTCTGCCTGGTGAGACCTTGATTAGCTGCTTCAGGTGTGTTTCATTGGGCTTGGAGCTAACTCGGCAGGACAAGGACCCTCCAGGACTTAGTTTGGACGCCCCTGCTCTAAGCCTACCGCTAGAATTTACCCGCAAGAGGTTTTCTCAAGCCTGTGCCAAAAGTGAGGATCTGTTTCGCGTGTGACATTTGGGCACTTATGAAAAGCACGACCAGCCCGCAGCAGTCTGTCACAGCCTCCCGGCTAGCTCAGTCGGTAGAGCATGAGACTCTTAATCTCAGGGTTGTGGGTTTGAGCCCCACGTTGGGCGTACCTTTTGGCTCTCTCGCCCTTCCCAACGGGTCTCTGTCTCCAATGAGTCTCTTGACCTCAGTTTGCTGACGCAGGACACGTGTTGTGTCTAATCTGTGTGGCACGCACAGCGTTGATTTTTTGTCCCCTGGGTTCGAGCCCACCCCGGGACGAAGGAAGCTTTTCGCTGCCATTCCGCCATGTGTCCGCAAGCGCAGAAATTAGCACACGAGACACGTGTCCGCTAACGCATGCATGGAGCAGCATTCGTAGCCCCTTTTGAGCGTTTACAGCTTTGTTAGTTGCCTTGTGGTAAAAGAAGACAAAGGGTAGTCAGTGAAGGTTCGTGTCAGCTCAAGTTTGCTGTGGCGTGTACACTGTGGCAGTGAAAACGTTGTGCCACAACATCTTTTCAGGTTACTTTCTTTTTTTTTTTCACTTTGCGTGTTTGGGGTGGAGCATTTCAATTATCAGCGGAAGGAAAGAGGATATAAGGAAGTGAGTCATACCTGAGAGTAATTGCGTCATCTGTAAAAGTTTGCAGTAGTGTGGGAGTGATTGTTTGGAGAACCCTGCGAGGTGGAAATATGGCTGTTTGTTCAACTGTTTGCTTTTCTTGTGAGTGATGTCTGGTGCGTTGTGAAGTTCCAAATTTCTTTTAAACGTGGCACTGCCAGATCGTCT